GGGATAAGGGGTCAGGTTTAGGCTGTAGAAATTAATGGACATCAATGAAATGTTCCCAGAAAGATAGCTGGGGCTCAGATCTGCCAATACTGCACTTCTGAGGCTGAAAAATTTCCAACTTTCTGCATGCAGGGCGGCTGTGGCAGAGTGGTTAGGGGAGTTGTCCTGGAACCGGAAGGTCACCGGTTCAATCCCCGTCTGGTCGACTCAGTCGTTGTGTCCTTGGGCAAGACACCTTACCTGCCTTGCCTACTGATGGTGGTCAGAGGTTCCGGTGGCACCTGTGTACGGCAGCCTCATCTCTGTCAGTGTGCCCCAGGGCAGCTGTGGCTACAGGTGTGTGAATGTGTGTGTGTGCATGGGTGAACGTCTGCAGTGTAAAGCATTTTGAGTGTCCTGGATGGATAGAAAGGCGCTATAAAAGTACAGTCCATTTACCATTTTTAACATCAAGACTACAGTCTACACTGCAACACCAGCACTACAGTGTACATCAGGAATACAGTCTACACTGCAACACCAGGACCACAGTCTACACTGCAACTAAGGACTATGTCTACACCATGACTACAGTCTACAATGCAACCTTAGGATTACAATCTACACCAGAACTACAGTCTACATTATAATATGAGGACTACAGTGTACACCAGGTCTACAGTCTGCACCAGAACTACAGTATACACTGCAACACCAGGACTACAGTCTATAACAGGACTACTGTCTGCACCAGGACTGCAGTCAACACTGCAACACCAGGACTACAGTCTAAATCAACGCTATAATCTACAATGCAACACCAAGACTACAACCTGCWCCAAAACTACAGTCTGCACCAATACTACAGTCTACACTAAAATACCAAGACTACAGTCTACATCTGGACTATAGTCTACACTGCAACACCAGGGCTACAATCTGCACTGCAACACAAGGACTATAATCTGCACCAGGGCTACAGTCAGCACCAGAAGTACACCCTACACTAGGACCAATCTACACTGCAACAGGACTACAGTCTGCAGTGCAACACCTGGGGGACAGTGGTGGCCCCACTCCTACTACCGACCCGGTTCCTACTAAACCCAGGATGGATAGATTTGTAGTCAGCTAAAAACAAAAGCAGATAAAAAAGAGAGGGTCCTTTTATTCTGAATCTGTCAATCAGCCTCTGCGGACAGACAGACAGACAGACAGACAGACAGACAGTCAGTCAGTCAGTCATACAGGCAGGCAGACAGATAATTACCTCCACAAAATAAAAACAGGGCAGCAGAGTGACGCTGTCCTTGGTCTCCTTCCCTCCTTTCAGCCGCTCCTTTGCGCGTGACATGACGAGCGGCCGGAGGTCTCCCCCGGTACCGGGAGACAGTGAACTGTATTTAATTCCCGTCGGAATTTTGACAGAATTCTGCTTCCTGTCCTCCTCTATCTTGTCCTCCTAGAAGCCTTCCTTCACCCCCCTCCTCCCGGTGACGTGGGCTAGATGAGACCGTGTCTTGTGTGAGATGGGTCCGTTATTACCGCAACTGAAATCCAGTTTCTGGTCCTAAAGCTGAGTCTGCTTCAGGCTCACGGTCTCCTCTAAACGCGCTCAGCCCGCGTGCATATCTTCCAGGTGTGTATGCAGTGTTTGTCTCCCTGTGGGCAGGGTACCGATGGATCTCTCTCTCTCTCTCTCTCTCTCTCTCTCTCTCTCTCTCTCTCTCTCTGCTAAGGCAGAACCATTTATCATAAAACACACAGACTCTTTGAAGAGGATAAATTACTTCCAAATCAATATTTCAGCAACTCTTATTTCATTAGTGCAGCCTTCAAACAGTTTACACATCTCAACAGTGTAACCAGATATTACTGAAGAACTTTAGAAGAGCTTTTATTTTCATTTTCTTTATTTCTGATTAGTTTTACTTGTAACACAGCATGCCATTGTGCCAAAAAATGGTGACACTCAATTGTAAATAAGAATATTATTAATTTTACCCAATGAACAGGTGAAATTTTGGTTCCCACCAACAGTGAATTGAGTGAGGGATTTTACTTATTTCTGATAGAGTGCTAGCCCTAATAACAAAAACTGACATGGAATCATGCAGCCTTCATAACACAATTTAACATCATGCCAAACAATGGTGACACAGCCTGCATGTTAGGCTAATTTCAGTTTAAGCCTGCCTTTAACTGACCAGAATACACTCAAAATGCACTGCATGGCCCAAAAGATGTCTCCACCAAAGAGATAGAGGTCACTCTAACATTTGGTTGGACTTTTAGCTTTGATCACGGCACACATTCTCTGTAACATTGTTTGATAAGCTTCTACAATGTCAGCAGATTTGTTTCATCCAGTGTTGCATTAATGTTTCACCAACATGTTGCATTGATGATGGTAGAGGGTTAGGGTTGTCTGACCTTCTCCAGCACATCCCAAAGACTCTCAGTGGACTCTGTGGAGTCAATCCGTGTATGAAAATGATGTCATGCTTCATATTTGCCCAGCAGCACCTTCATAACTCGCCTCAGAACTTTGTCCCAACATTCTGACCTGCTTCTGTCTCTGTATCGAGCCCCTAAGAGACATGATGATAGATTAGGGTTGGGGTTAAGTTTACTCCATCTGAAGTCAGYCAGATTTAAAAACTCAAGAAAACAGCATGAAATAAAATCATTAACAGATGACTCTTTGGTCTTGTTTTATGAGTGGTTGAGATCCAACAGTCTTCTCATCATCTGACAGTTAAAAACTAAAGTTGTCAGACATGAACCAAGCTCTGCAGAAACAACTCATAATCATAAGCTCACAATATTGTTTTAGGATGAAATCATTTTATACTTTGGTTAAACACCCACATAAGTTTTCTGATGTGATCGTCTTATAGACTTTTACATAYTTTGCTGTGAATAAATGACTCATTTGTGCAACTCTTCAGCATTACAGTATGTTCACGTCCAAAAGAGGCTCCCAGTAGATTTTTTTAATTTCAMTCTCCCCATAGACATCTTTAATGTTGTACAAAGTCTTCATAAGTTTTCTAGTGAGACAGGTTCTTGATGGTTTAGCGTGCATGCATAAACCCCATTTGTCTTGGAGCCATTTCCTTTCTGTCGCACTCAGCTGTGATGATGCATGACAGGAGCATGTTGTACAGAGGCAGGTGATTAGTGGGTAGTTGTGTTGAGTTGACCCTGTCCCAGCCAGCACAGCTACACACAGCTACCTGTGCTGTCTCCTCCATGCTCAATAATGGTGCTTTCTCTCTCAACAGGTTCTTTACCATTTACTATTTACTATTTTATGAGTTTTATTGGAACATTTATAAACATGGCTGTACTTCAGAGCAGCACTGGTCAAACGCCTCAACAGAGCAGTTGAAGCTGTAGTTCTGCTGTTAACCCAGTTTTCAGCACAAATATACGCCCACAACACAGTTCTGACCAATCACACAGTAGATGAAGCATACCCCCAAGAGGAAATATTCTCCTTGGACCTGGTGTGAAGAACAGGCTCTCACAACAAAACGACAGGATTTTAYATTCCTGCAGAGTATGAATCTAATTTTAAAGTTGGCAGTATGACAACAAATATCTGTGAGCTCTGTTATATCACCATGGTAACACATGCRGAACCAATCAGAACAGAGATAAATTCAGTCAATCATCCCCATGCACTGTGATGTCAGACAGGAAACTCAGACTGTGGGCTGACACACTGACAGCTTGTTTTTGATGATCTGCTTTGACAATCAGACATTCTRTAAAATGCTAGGAAAAGCTGCCACTGAGCACAAACTTCTGTTTTTCAAATCTTTTACTGTCTGCATTTACCACAGGGTCATAGGTCACAGGTAGCTTACACTGCCCTCTACTGGTCAGTGGAAGAACTAACACAACTAACAAACAAACAAACACTACTGTATTTCATTTTAAGACAGTGCAGAAACGCAAATTTTTGAGGTGAGATATCAAACAAAAGTGTTTTTTTGTAAGCACTATTGTTATATTAATTCTGCTAATTATTGTGTGGCAGGAACTCAGTGAACAAAACAACAAGTGGTGATGTCACACACATKGTCATTCCTTTCTTAAAGCTGGACAAAGTGGGTTTAGACAACATCACAAGTAGGAGAAAAAACACGTAGCAAAGGCCGAGGATCTTTGAAAGGATTAAATGTCACTTATGGCTTTTCATGCCAGAGTTTTAAACTAAGCTCATGCTTTGTAAAAAAAGGTTATATATATGTGTGTGTGTGTGTGTGTGTGTGTGTGTGTGTGTGTGT